GAGCCCGATGTGGGACTCGATCCCAGGACCCTGGGATCATGACCTGAGCCGAAGGCAGACGCTTAACGACTGAGCCACCCAGGCGCCCGAAATTTGTTCCTTTTAGCTCTGGGGTTAAACACTACTTTTTCTAGGCTTTATGGGGAGTGAGGGTCCCTGATAAGGCAGGAAAGTTAGTGGGAAGTGGGGGCTTTATCCAACTCCTTTCTCTGCCATACGTTGGCCCCATAGGACCAGTGTGTGGAGATCACTGAGGAGTCCAAGGCTCTCCTGGAGGAATACAACAAGACTGTATCCTTTCTGCTCAGCCAGGCCCCTAAGGAATGCTGTCCAAGGCCCTGTCCTTTTGTTCAATCTCCAGCAGCTCTGTCTGTTTCATCCCATCCCAATGAACCTTTCTATTCCCCTCCTCCCCAACCCTTTGGCAGATGGAAAATCTCTCCACTACCTCATTCAGGCTCTTGTTCTCACCTTGACCTGCCACCAGACAATGCTTCTCTCCAAGCAATTTGTGCAGTGGGATGAGCTACTTTGCCAGCTAGAGGCCGCCAAGCAAGTGAAGCCAGCAGAGGAGTGATGGCTGCTTCCCATTCCTGGGTGGCCCAGGACAGCCAGGCTCCAGGGCCCTGTGCTAAACTGCCTTTGTAACAGGGCAGAGGCAGCTCTGTATTTATTGGATTCGCAGCCTACCTCTCTGCGTTCAGGTGGGGCTCTGAGGTCAGAGGTCTGGCTACTTGAGGTTTGCTATTTGCACCCCCTCCCCACATCAGTGTCCTATTCCAGTGACAATAAACTATAGAAATCACTGGAGGAATGTGCCAACTTCCTGGTCTATGATGGGAATGATGGTGAGGATGGGGGTGGTAGAGGGCAGAATTGTCAGCCTTTCTAGTGGTTGGACCAGGAGCTATACTTATCCTGGTCTGGCTTTCTGGGGGATGTAGAGCTCTCAGGACAAATGCTCTCATTTGATCTATATGGGTGGAACATTTGTTTGTGCACCCATTTATCCCACATTTATCAAGTATCCTCTATATTTCAGATACCATGCTAGGTGGGGAGGATGTGATCCCTGCCTTGCACAGACTAGCTAGGGAGATGGTCAAAGAAAAGAGCCCACCCACCAACTGGGTCCTTTGGAGCACAGAAGAGGAAGGGTTGCTGCGCTGGAGAAGGAGGGAGCCTGGTGATAGAGCTGAGACAGGGATTGGTGCCTCACTCCACCAAGTGTTTGCTGCCCCCTTGTGGTCTCAGGGAGTGCTGTTGCCCCAAACCCCTTTTACAACGGCCTGCCAGCCCGCCACTCAACCTGCACGGTTTCACTAGCGTCTCAGATTCAGCACGTCCTAAGACTGAAACCTGGGACTCATCCTAGACTCTTTACTTCTTCTCAGTCCAGACAGTCACCAACTCACCAAACCTACCTCCTAATATCTCCTAACTTAATCTACTTTTCTCTATTCCGACTGCTATTTCTGTTTCATTCTCAAATCATTTAACAAATATTTGAGCGCCTATTACACGCTAGGCACCGTACGAGTCTCCGTGGATACGCCCCCAGCACCCCGCGGCCTGTTCACCGGCGGTTGCTGCCCAGTTTCCCCACTCCCACCCCCTTTGTCGGCAGCCAGAGTGAGCTGTGCACACAAACTGGTTTGACTGGCCCCTAATGAAAAGCCTCCGGTGGCTCACCATGCCCACAGAATGAGGTCGAAGCGCAGAACTCGGTGACCAAGGCTCTCCCCCGCGCAGCAGCAACCACTTCAAACGGAACCTCTTGCCCCGTCAAGTGAAACCCACTGCGTCGCCTTTGCTATTGCAGTGCGGTCTACTGGTGACTCCAGCCCTGCCATCGTCTCAGGACCGGATCCTCCCCATCTTTGGGACGCGAGTCTCTGGTGGCTCCTCTCCGCAGTGCTCTTCTGCGCCCCGGCAGGGGTGCCCCAGGGCGTAACAGCGGAGACTGCCTGTATGTTCATGTCTCAGGGTGTCCTGGCTCAGCTCACTCCTAGACGACCAGGCTGTACTCAGTTTTCCCGCGGAGGCCCCGCGGGCCACGGCCCGCAAGTCCCGCCCCTAGCCGGCGTGCGCGGCCCCGCGGCTTCGGCGCGCTCCCGGCGTGCGCGCCATCTTGGCTCCAGATCGAACTAGAGGCGTGAGCGGCCGGGGCGGTGAGAGCTAGAGCGTAGCGGCGTTGGGGGTCGGTGGTGCGGTTGTCTGGAGGTAGAGGGAGGAGAGGGGAGGCTGGCTTCTTGACCTCTGCGGCCTGCTGGGCTTTGGAGTCCGCCTGTGGCGGTGAAGGGGGCCGGGCTGTGGACTCCACACCAGGAGTAGCCCACGCAGCCCTCCGCGTCAAGCCTCTGCTTCCGTGTTTCTGAGTGACCTGGGTTGGGGGCATCGACACTGGGAATCTCAGGGTGAGGGGTGCTCGGCCCTATTCTTAGGATCCCGGAGTAGGGGAGGGGTTCAGTTCTGTTTGAGGAGCATTTGGAGGAGGGCTCTTGGCTCTTGCCAGGGAGCTTGGAGTGTAGGAACCTCTGCGAGCGGAGTGAGGGGGCCTTGTCCCTGTCTTAGAGAGCTGTGGGTGAGGGGCGCTCAGTCTTGTTTTCAAAAGTCTGGGGCAAGGGTGTAACCAGGGTACAGGGATGCAGAAGCACCTGGCTTTGGGGATCCCAAACAGACCAGGTTCTGCCACTCCCGGCTGACAAAATCCAAAGGCAGAGACTGGTGGTGAAACAAGAAAGGAATTTATTTCAGTGGGGCCAACACTAAGACAGCACACTAGGCTCAAAGACTGTCTTCAAAGGGTTGACAGTGCTTCTAGGTTTATATAAGGAGAATGTGGGACAAAGGTCGGTCTGTAGGTGCAATGGGCAGTAAAGGGCAGGTCCATCATTGTCTTGGGGCCAATCAGAGGGGGTCTTGCTGGCCTTAGGGTAGTCGTTATTGCTTGAGGGGTAGTTTTGGTTCCCATCAAGAGATGCTTTGCCTGCAGGGTCTTTTGCCTGTATTAAAAGATAAGCTAAAGGGGTGCCTAGCTGGTTCAGTCAGTAGAGCATGCAACTCTTGATCTTAGGGCTTGTGAGTTCAAGCCCCATGTTGGGTGTAAAGCTTACTTTAAAAAAAAAAAAAGATAGGCTGGAAAAAAGATAAACTGAAAAGAACTTTATTAGAAAGTACAGTTGAGGTAAAAATGGAGGTACTTGAAGTTCTCGTTCAAGGGCGCAGCCCTGTCCCAAGGAGCTCAAGATGAGGGGGCTTGGCCTATCCTAAAGAGCCCAGTGTTTGATGAATTTGGTCCTGTGTCAGGGACTCCAGGGTGGAGGGAGGGTTATGGCCATGTCCAGAAGAATGGGGTGTTTGGGATACTGCCCTTTCCCAGGGTAAAGTAGGCATGGCACCTGTGCTGAGAAGCCAAGGGTGAGGGGATACAGTCCTGTTCCTGGGAAGTCTGGGATGAAGAGCAGGACCATTTCCTGGAGAGCTGGGGTTGGGGGATGGCTTGGGGCGTATTGCCCAGCATTCATCTGACACTTCCCTGCAGTGGACCGTGAAATTCAGACACAACAGCAAGTGGAATGGAGCACTACCAGAAAGCTGGCTCTGTGGAACTCCCAGCACCTTCTCCGATGCCCCAGCTACCTCCTGATACCCTGGAGATGCGGGTCCGAGATGGCAGCAAAATCCGCAACCTACTGGGGCTGGCACTGGGTCGACTGGAGGGTGGTAGTGCACGGCATGTGGTGTTCGCAGGTTCTGGCCGCGCTGCAGGGAAGGCGGTCAGCTGTGCTGAGATTGTCAAGCGGCGTGTTCCAGGCCTGCACCAGCTTACCAAGCTGCGCTTCCTGCAGACCGAGGACAGCTGGGTGCCAGTCTCACCTGACACTGGCCTGGATCCCCTCACAGTGCGCCGCCATGTACCTGCAGTGTGGGTACTGCTCAGCCGGGACCCCCTGGACCCCAATGAGTGTGGCTACCAGCCTCCAGGAGCACCCCCTGGCCTGGGCCCCACATCAAGCTCCAGCTGTGGCCCACGACCTCGAAGAAGGGTTCGAGACACCTGGTCTTGAAGATCTGCCAAGCAAGCTATTTTCCAGGCATGAATGTCTGGGATGGCTTTGCCTTCTCTGAAAAGCCTCTTGTAACTGTTCAACATCCCCACCAAGACTTGAATCCACAGAAGTGGGCCTCCCTGTCCTGCTTCCTCTTCTCTCTGGTGTGTGAAAAGGGACAGCTATGAAGAGTTACAGGTGGGGCGCCTGGGTGGCTCAGTCGTTGGGCGTCTGCCTTC